AAGATCGAGCGCAGCGTGCAGCGGTACGCAATTCCTTGGAAGAGTTCAAATCTTGGGTTGTTGAGCCGTCGGCGCTGGGGGTCCTTCACAGATCTCTTAAGCCGCAACCGCTCCCTCCGAATGAGGTCTTGGACGGCAGCAACAATGTGGTTTTTCATCCTCGTGATCTTATGGACTGCAAGCGACGGGTCTACCAGAAGTTGTGGGCTCCCAAGGCCATTGATCGTGCAGGTACAGTGGATCTCTTTCGTGAAATCAAGCAGGCTGCTCAGTTGGAACCGATGGAGTCGTTTACGGCAGCTGACATTTATCGTGTTTCGGGAAAGATGAAGCCCCGGGCAGGTTTAGGCGTCGATATGTTCACACCACTTGACTATCAACGCCTGCCGATTGCAGCAGTATGCGAATTGGCCTTGATATTGAACGCAGTGGAACAGCAGCTCGCATGGCCAGTGCAGACCATGCAGTATGTGCCGTCTCATCCCAAAGAGGGTCGTCACCAAGGACAGGGCCATCGGGCTCGTCTCCATGTTGGGGCGCATGTGGTCGCTCATCAGAGAACCTCATGTGCAAGATTGGTCTAAGGACCATACGGAGGCGTGGGACGCGGCGGTGGCTGGCAACTCGTGTCTCAGGGAGGCCTACCTCAGGGCCTACTATGGACATGCTTTGACTGACGTCCAGGAGTTCTACGACTCCATCCCATGGCACTTGCTTGCCAGAGCAGCGCTGCGATTATCGTTCCCCCCAGTCATTTTATGTCTGGAACTTCTGCAGTGTATTGTTTGTCGGGCTTTATTACAGAATGGCGCAGCGACGGACCCAATTGCACCATCCCACTCGGTGGTTCAAGGATTACGAAGCGGCACCGGATTCGCACGCATCATGACCCATTTCGTCATGCGCAAAGTTGCCCAAGCGAGTCCGAACATGGGGCATCGCTTGTGGGTTGACGATATATCACAAAAGGTGGTGGGCTCACGGCAAGAAGTGGTACACAGCCTCATCAAATTTATTGTGAATACTTGTCGGGAACTCGCTGCCCAGAAATTGAAAGTGTCTCCGAAACCTGTTGTTTTATGCACTCATAAGGAGGATGCGGTCAAGATTGTACGTGCTGTACGGATTCGGGGCTTTAGAATTCAAGCTGTCCAGCAGGCTCCGTACCTCGGCATCGACTTCAGCGGTGGACGGAGAGGAAGAGCCACACGCACGGAGCGAGATCGCAAGCACAAGCAAATGAGTGCAAACATCAAGAGGTTTTCGCAAGCATCCAAAAAATATCATCAAATTTCTCGCCTCGAGAAGGCTGGCGGACAGCCGGCTGGCACGTACAGGTTTCAAGTTCACGGAGTGTTTGGCAGCCGGCTTACTGACTCCCGACGACGCCTCGCAGGAGCATGTGCAGCACCAACGGCAGGGAGATGCCTCACCACGCTGTTGGAGTTGCGCGCCCCACAGGGCGATCCTGCCATTGCGTATCCCTTTCGGCATATCGATACTTGGCTCACGATATGGCAGGCTCATCCTGATCTTCGGCGTGGCGTGGCACGTGTGTGGCCGCAGGTGGTCGCATCAATGCAGGGGGCCTCACCGAGGGACCAGATTAAGAGAGTACAGGGCCCCATCTCGGCAACGGTGCTTCAGTTGCTTCGTGTGGATTGGCAGCCAATGTCACCTAGTGCCTGGTCTTACCAAGGGGACAAGGGCACGACGGAGGAGTGGCAGTTTCCAGATCACATCTACACGGGCAATAAATGGTTGGATACTCATGCCCCTCTGGTGGCGGATATCCGACACACGGCTCGACGGCGACTGTGGCAGCATGCTGAGGCTCATTATTGTGGAAGTGGGCTAGCTGGAGGAGTTGACTCAGAATCATATCGGCTTTTGCTCAAACAGCTGGGGGCACAAGATCCTCGACTGGAGGAGGTGATGCTCAATATCGCCACTGGTGGTTTCTGGACCAAGTTGCGGAAAAAGCAGTTTCTCAAATCGTACCGTGGCAACGCCACATGTGACAGGTGTAAGCAGTATGATGAAAGCCCCATGCATAGGGCGTGGATTTGTGACAGGAACCAGGGCTCCAAGGCCTACGCGGACTCCGACACGTTCGTGGCGCTGGCCTGCGCGCAGGCTGAGGCGGACGAGGGCTTCTGGCTCCGAGGCCTCCTCCCAGCGGGGTGGGTGCAAGTGCCTGAGCCTTGCCAGGAGGCGACGTGGACGGTCGCTGGTCTCAACTCGTTCGACGAGGGCGTCTTCGGCGAGGGCACTGCCGCCGACCCGCTGTGGCTGTTCGGCGACGCGTCGGGCAGCAAGTTCACGGCGTCGGCACGCCTGCGTCGTGTGGGCCTGGCGGTGGTCCACATGCGGGGCTACGCGGCGATGGCCGCGGTCCGCGGTCCGCTGGTGGGCCCACGGCAGGTCGTGCCGCGCGGCGAGCTCAAGGCGCTGGCCGTGGCGCTGTGGGGCTCGCGAGGCGCAATGGTCTATGTGTCCGACTGTGACTCGGTGGTTGCAGGATGGTATGCTGGCACTCATCTTCGACCGTCTGGTGAAGACGCTGATCTGTGGCGTGAAGTTGGAGAGTTGGCACGAGGACGAAGCATCACGGTTTTGTTCACGCATTCCCATTTGACTGCCGCGGATGTGGCTCGTGGACATGGGGTGTCCGCCCTGGTCGTGGGCAACACCATCGTGGACGAGCTGGCGGGGGTGGCGGCAATGGAGGCCCAGATAGCCAAAGCCGATCTGGCCAGAGTATTGCAGCACGAGCGACGTGCATATCTTGTACGGCTCCGCCTTCTGCGAGCGGCTCTTGACAGCATGAAGGCCACGGAAGAGGCCGAGCGCGAGGTGAGAACCAGAGGCCGTGTGGCCCAGGACCGCCCTCCACCTCCTCCTTCTGCTGCTGCTGTCTCTTCCCTCCTCTCCCCGCATAGATTGTCCGATTGCAAGCAGAAGTGTTTTCGGTGTTTTTCGTCGGCCACGAAGGCCAAGATGAAAGCCTGGTGGGGCACCGAGTGCCCTCAGTTATTGAATGTTGATGGCGTGATCATGTCTCCTAAGGTAGGTTCTAGAGTGCATGTCATGGGGGGCTGGGCCCAGGTGTCTCACACTCTGAACGTCCATACTACCCTCGGAGTTTGGTTTTGCAGCCTCTGCGGGGCTATTGCTGAAAAGCAGTTGAGGTCCCTGGGTGCCCCGTGTCCTGGGCCCCAGAGTTTGACCAAAGCACGACGTGAATATCTCGATCGGATCGCTGCTAATAAGCAGCCGAAGGTCCTCAGCCAAGCCGAGCAGAAGGCAAGGCGATCGAGAGCTCTTCCTTAGTGTGGTCAGAAGTCACTTGCAGTCCGCAACGGGGTCCACTCCACTCCACTCCACTCCCTGGTGCCACCCACCCACCCGTGCCGGCAACCCCACGAAAGCCGGCACCCCCCTGCCGGTGCCGGCACCTCCCCCGGTGCCGGCACCACACCCCGGTGCCGGCACCCCCTTCCGGTGCCGGACTCCCCCCCCGGTGCCGCACCGGGGGCTCGGTCCCGGAATCGTCCCGAACGCGCCGTCGCCGTGACCATCGTCATGATGGAGACCATGACAATGGCCATGATGCAAGTGATCATCATCAGCAGTATCATCATCATCATCATCATCATCATCATCATCATCATCATCATCATCATCATCATCATCATCATCATCATCATCATCATCATCATCATCATCATCAATCATCATCATCATCATCATCAGCATCATCATCAGCATCATCATCATAATCATAATCATCATCGTCATCATCATCATCATCATCACCATCAGCATCAGCATCAGCATCAGCATCAGCATCATCATCAGCATCATCATCACCATCATCCTCATCCTCATCCTCATCCTCATCCTCATCCTCATCCTCATCATCAGCAGCATCATCCTCATCATCATCCTCATCCTCATCCTCATCATCCTCATCCTCATCATCATCATGTTCATCATCGCCACCATCATGATCATCATCATTTTCAGCAGCATCGTAATCATCATCATCACCAGCATCATCATCACCCTCATCATCATCATCATCATCATCATCATCATCATCATCATCATCATCATCATGTTGCCGAGCCCCCCAGATCGGCGGCACTGGCCAGAGGCCATGGTAATATTTGAAGTCAGTTAAAGTGGATGAATCGTAGTAACTACTGCGAAGTTCTACTTCATACAACTGTCAGAACGCCCTTCCGATATCAGACGCGAGCTTCGGGGCCACGAATCCAGTGTGTCTGCCCCCACTGTATGTCGATTGGCCCTCGTAGTTCCTATGCAGCCTCAAGTCGTTGCTGATATCCCCCTATCCCTGATGTGATGCGGAACCTGATCCTGTCGATCGCCTGCTCGATCCACGCGTTTATCTTCGCTGCTGTCGGGGCACTGTAGCAGACGAAAAGAAGGTCCAAGGTAGGAGTCTGGAGATGGTATCCCGCCACTAGGCCTTGCAGTTGCCTGGGGGAGTGCACGAAGTCACGCAGTCATGACCCCGGGACTTTCGTGGGCCGCCAGTAGCGCGGTACAGCACGCATTCGGCACCCGCTTCCCTCTGACACCCGTGATTGAACAGCGCAGTGGTATGGCAGGTGGAAGGTAGCCGCATCTGCCCCCTGCGTATATGTGGGCGCGCCTGTGGGTGTCAGAAAGTCTCAGCTTTAAGTTCGCAAGACATGTTCTCTTAACCTTTCGATGGATGACGCTGCCAGTGGAGTGTTGTAACGTATACGCACGGCGAGAAACTAGAGTAGAAAAACAAGCGCCATCTGCTTCCCTCGCGACCTTGCCCCGTGGGCACCATGACAGGCTCCTGCATCGCTGGAAAGCAGTGAGAGACTACATCCGGTCGATCTGCGATTCCTGCGAGCCGATCGGAGACTGCTGCAGGAGCAGCAGTACGAGGAGGAGAAGGATAGGGAGGAGGCCCTCCCATGGTCCAAGCCCGCAGCCGCCAAAGCCGCGCATCGCTGCGGGAGCCGGTCGCCTCGCGCGCGGCAGCCGGGGGAGGCCACTGCCGCCGGCCCGAGCGCCCCTCCCCAAAAAAAACGATGTTCTCCTCCACTATTTCCTCCTCCTCCTCCTCCTCCTCCTCCTCCTCCTCCTCCTCCTCCTCCTCCTCCTCCTCCTCTTCCCCCTGCTCCACCTTCTCATCTTCCTCCTCCTCCCTCCTCCCCCTCCTCCTCCTCCTCCTCCTCCTCCTCCTCCTCCTCCTCCTCCTCCTCCTCCTCCTCCTCCTCCTCCTCCTTCTCTTCCTCCTCCTCCTCCTCCTCCTCCTCCTCCTCCTCCTCCTCCTCCTCCTCCTCCTCTCCTCCTCCTCTTCCTCCTCCTCCTACTCCTCCTTCCCCTCCCTCTCCTCCTCCTCCTCCTCCTCCCCTCCTCCTCCTCCTCCTCCTCCTCCTCCTCCTCCTCCTCCTCCTCTCCTCGTTTTCCTCTTCCTCCTCCGCCTCCTCATCCTCCTCCTCCTCTTTCTCCTCCTCCCCCTCCTCCTCCTCCTCCCCCTCCTCCTCCTCCTCCTGCTCCCCCTCTGTGCCAGCATGCCGCGGGCAGTGCACCCCTCGAAAGGCCAGGTGCACCCCACGCCCCTCCCCCCAGGCGCCTCTGCTGGGCGATAGGGAGCAGAAGAAAAAGAGGCGCTCGGGTGGGCGACGGAAAGAAAGGGGCCTCACGCGAGATGACGTAGCGACCTTCCTAGAACCCTTCGCGTTGCGAAAAACATACGACGGGAAATATGTCGTTATTTTCGGCCTCTGGGGTACCCCTACCAGGCCTCGGTAGTCGAAGAACGACTGAACGACTCAGGATGAAAAACTGGTCATGGGGAATGGGTTGAGACCTTTTGGGGTCGACGTCATGAAGAAATCATGACGTCAGGGGTCTGGGCTGCGCGGTAGCTCACGCGGGCCGCTGGCACGGCACGCTGCACTGGAAACGAAGGCGCTGACGCGCGACCTTACGCGGGCAGTTTACCCGCCAATGTCGGCGCGGACGACCCCGTTTTGTCGCGTCACTTCGGGGAGAAGTGCACGGTCAGCACAGGTGGGCCAGCGAGCGCGGCGGCGCGGGAGGGAGGCGACACGAGGCCCGAGAAGCGGGGGCTGGGCCGAAGGACCGAAGCACGAGCGCAGGGTCCTGACATCCTACCGCTGTGGGATGGGTGGACGACACAAGAGCACCGCAGGGACGAGACCCCCCGAAGCCCAGGTGCAGCGCAAGTAGTTATATGAAATTCGGACAGGGAAGACCAGCTCGAGAGAGGAGGGAGGAAGCGGCATGCAGCAGGGGCTTGACCACAAGAAATCTTCCACAACAAACCCAACCCTGAGACCCCAGGACGTCGATGGAGTTTTGGCGTGGGAACGTCACGGCTTCCATCGCAAAATGATCTCGAAACCCAAGAAACCCAGGGCACCCTGTGGAGGAAAGCGGGGTGTTTCTTGGTATGGGTCTCAACTGTGAGCACGCTTGTGCACGACTCGGTGTCCGCAGGCGGCGTGGGACGGCTGCGGTGGCAGGCAGCGTGTCGCTGTCCCGCCTCTTCCCTCCCACGCGGCTTGTTGCAGCATATGTTTCAGTCCTTGGCTCACGAGGCGACGCGGCGGCGTGGAAATTGTTGGGGGGGCTCATGTGGCTGGGCTACCTGGGGGCTGCCCACCCGTCGCGAATTGGAATCGCATCGCCCACTCGGTGGTAGGGAAAGAGAAAACACAGACAGAAACAGAAGCATCAGCGCCGTGGACCCTCTTGTTGTGCACTCCCAGGAAAAACGACGACGGAAGCATCTTGCCAATTTTCGGCCTGCGGGGGGCCTGGAGGGGCCCCAGGACTGACAAGCAAAACTCAGGATGAAGAGCCGGTTTCGGGAAGGGGCCCAGACCTCTTGGAAGCCAGGCTGTGAAAGACTAACAGCGTCGGATGTCTGGGAGGACAGCGCGCAAGTGAGGCGGGCCCGCCTGGGCAGATGATCAAAGCCACCAGGAGGAGGCGAGGAAGGCAGAGGGAGGGGCCAAGCTGGATGCGCCAATCCCTTCCAATGCGCGGGAACGTGTTCCATCCGCCGACGGGGGTACCATGAAGGTCCCTGTTCCCAAAAGGGTGGCTGCAAGATTTGCCCCATTCTCTGCTGCGCAATAGGAGTGGGTGGGTTTGGATGGGGGGAGAGGAGGGGGAAGAGCAGGCGGAAGAAGAGGAGAAGAGGAGAAGAATGCGGAAGGAGAAGGAGGCAGATGAGCAGGGGAAGAAGGAACAGCAGCAAGAGCAAGGCGAAGGATGGGACAGAAGGAGGACGCAACGACGAGGACAGAACGAAATCCAGAAATAAGGCCCGTGCATGAGCGTGAGCGCAAATTCGGAACGACGGGGGTACACCACTGAACAGGTGTCACCCCGAACATGACACGCATCCCATAGATTGCACCGCACACATTGCTCCACATCTACTGTACCAGGTTGCATCGCACAGATTGTACCACATCTGAATACATACGCATATGTTGAACATATGTGCGAACAGCTACTATCGATATGCACGTTCCCAAAACAGTGCTTACACTAAGAGAGTATCATTTCTGTTCTAAGGAACTGGGCTGATATTGCGGTCGTCGCCGTCGCCGCCCTATCGTAGCCTCGTCGACGCGCGTCGTGTGGGCGGGTGTGGCGGTCTGGCGGCGATGTTGACGCCGTCGCCGCCCCGTCGCCGCCTCATCTTCGCCCGTCGTCTGGACCGGTGTGGCGCTCTGGCAGCCATGCTGTCGCCATCGCCGACCCATCGCCGCCCCATCGCCGCCTCGTCGCCGCAACAGCGGTTGCTCCACATACATTACGCAACATAGATTGCACAACATAGATTGCACCACATGGATTGCACATCAGAGATTACACACCATAGAGTACACCGCCCGTGTTGCACCACACTGATTGCACAACATAAATTTCACCATATTCATGTGTTGCACACAACAGATTGCACAACAGGGATTGCACCAGATAGACTGCACCACATAGAATGCAAAACATCGATTTCACAACAGATATGGGACCACATACATTGCACCACCTACTTTGCTCCACACATGGTGCACCACGATTGCACCACATAGATCGCACCACATAGATTGCTCCACCAAAAAAGTGCACAACATGCGTTGCACCACATAGGCTGCACCAATTGGATTGCAAAACTTAAGTTGCAAAACGCAGATTACACCACCAATGTTGCACCGCATAGATTGCACAGCATAGATTGCAAGACAAAGTTGCACAGTTGAGATTGCACAACACAGATGGCACAACAGATTTTGCATAACGTAGATCCTCCGTTTCTAACAAATTTGCATCTACCACCGCCACCCCTGGAATTATCCATCGCTCATTCCAAGCATGAACGCATACCATTCCAGCCCCGCTGGTATCGACCCCCCACCACCATTGCCTTCAACAAACACTATGCGTGCACACGCGTTTAGCACAAATGATCAATTTTCAAAACCTCCCTGCGAAAAAAAAAAATGACGGAGTGCACACGCGAGCGTCGTCGCGCACGCATGTCGGACTCCTCCCAAAAAACCTTTAGTGTCGAAAGGAAGTCAAAATCGACTGTCCCGAAAACATATAAACATTACATGGTTTGCAGAATCAAATTGCAAATCATATGCGCGGGGGGGGGGCGCATGTCGAAATCATTCGGGCGCCCTTGCGCGCGTCCTGGGGGGAACGATCCCTGTCAAATAATGTCACGGGGGCAACTCGCGCGCGTCGACCGCGCGCGCATGTTGGAATCCTTGCAACACCTTCATCACCCACACGAAGCACCATCATCTTCATCGGCGTGATCAGCATCGGTGCCGTCATTGGCCTTCCTGTCGTCATCGACATCATCGTCACCATCATTGCAACTGGCATCATCGCACCTACCGTTGTCGATGTCACCATGATGCCGAGCCCGCCAAACCCACTGACTCGCACTGAAGCGCCGGCTCGCAGGCGCGGTCTGCGAGACGCGCTGGGAAGTACCCAGCGGTCAGCGCCACCACGGCCGCGTCGGTCGCGTCAAACTAGCTGGCCGCTGTGCGCGCGAGCATGCGCGGGCTAGCGCGGCCACAGAGATGCACCAGCCAGCACCAAGACCTTATCGGAATCGCAGCCACCTGGGCGTTGCAAACAGAGTTGCGGGTGGGTGGGTGGGATGATTGCGCGAGCAGCGGGGTCGTCAACTCACTGCGAGCGTTGGTGAATCATACAGCATAAAGTGCACAACCGAAAATTCACCACGCAACTTGCAACACACTGATTGCTCCGCATATATGGATTGCACCGCCCAGATTGCTCTACCTAGGTAGCGCCGCATGAGGAGGAGGAGGAGGAGGAGGAGGAGGAGGAGGAGGAGGAGGAGGAGGAGGAGGAGGACACACTGGCTGGGGCCCACGCTGCCTAACGTGCACACGGTGCTGCACAGAGGCCGCACACCACGTGCACCAAAGCGGAGCCACCAATGAAAATTGCACATCGGGAGCGCCAGGGCCCGCTGCGCGGGGGGGCCACGCCGGCGCAGACGCTCTTGCAGATCAGGGAGCTGCACGGACTCCGGAAGATCGGTGCTCAAAACCGTGAGAGGAGGAGGGCGAGTGGAAGGAAAAGGTGGAAAGGAGGATGGGATGAGGAGAACGAGGAGGAGGAGCAGCAGCAGCAGGAGGAAAAAATTAAGTTGACAAAGGGAGGAGCGGAGGAGTGAAAGAAGGAGACTGAGGAGAAGGGGACAAGCAGGAACGGTAGGAACTTCGTGGTCATGTCTTTCCACGATGTCCTCGCAGGACGAGTTCCGCACAGCCTAACTCGCTCACCTGCAAACGCAAAAACAAATCCAGCGGCCAGGCCCGAACCGGAGGCCTGGGAATAAAGCCCTGGCCGCCGAGGACACGTTTAAACAAGTTTTGACAGGCCCGCGGGCGAGGAGAAGAGGAGGCCCAAAGAACTTCCCCGACGTCCCCGTCACTGTCGTGCTCGTCCTCATCTTTGTCATCGCAGTCGCGGTCATCGTCATAATCCTCGTCCTCGTCGTCGCAGTCATCGTCATCGGCGGAGTCGTACGCCTCGTCATCGGAGTCCAACGAGGAGGAGCATAGCAGAAAAACTAGATAAAGGCGATGAGAGGAGAAGCAACAGGAGGGGGGAGGAGACGAAGGAGAAGGAGGGGAACGACGACGACAACGTCGACGACGAGATTACGGGAGGAGAGAAGGAGAAGGTGGAGGGTGAGCATCGAAAGCACGAATGTCGTCGTCATCTTCGTCTTCGTCGAAGTCGTAGTAGAGATCATTCTCGCCATTGTCGTCGTCGTTGCCCTCCTCCTCGTCCTCATCCTGAAGACCGCCTCTCATCATTGTCGTCCGCGTCATCGCCGTCCGCGTCACCGTCGTCCATGTCGTAGGAGTCATCCTCATCGCGACCGTCCTCGTTCTCAACGTCACCGTCGTCGTCGGACTCCTCGTTGTTATCGGAATCACCGCCAAAGTGCGAAACATCGTCGGAGACGACGTCCTCGCCATCATTGTCCTCGTTGGAAAGCCGTCGTCGTCGCGTTCGTCAAAGTCATCAGCGTCGTCATCGTCACCGTCCTCGCCCGTGTGCTTGTCGTCGTTGTTCCTTGTCGTCGCTGTCGCTGTCGGAATCACCACCGTGGTCGTCGGATTTACCGTCGTGGCCGTGGTCGTCTTCGTTGTCGGAGTCATCTTCGTCGTCATGAGAACCGCCCGGGAAGGAGAAGCAGAAGTGGCGGCGTCCGCTAGGAACGACGACGACGACGGCTCGCTCCTGCCCCCCCTGGCCAAGACGAAGACGACGCCGACAGCGACAGCGGCGGCGCCAGCGACCGCCACGGCGACCGACGACGGCCACCGACGACGACGACAGACGATGACGACCGACGACGCCGGCGACGCCGGCGTCGGCGACGGCAACCGACAGCGACGGCGGCGGCGGCGGCCACAACGGGCGCGGCGCCCACTGGCCTCTGCGGGGTCGCTCGCCAGCCTCTGCCGGCCCGGGCCGCCCTCGACGAAGCTCCGCCCGGCGCCCAGCACGACGGGGACGTCGTCCTCGTGCCCGATGCTGTGGGCGCGCGGTTCGGCCTCTGGGGCTGGAGACGACGACGGTGACGACGACGACGACGACGACGACAACGACGACGACGACGACGACGACGACGACGACGACGACGACGACGACGGCGGCGACGGCGACGGCGACGACGACGACGACGGCTGCGACCCAGCAGAACGCGCCCGTCCGGCACCCCCAGCGCATCACGCAGCCGCCGAGGCCCCACTGCGGGGTTTTGGACTACACAAGTTTGCAACCACGAGGGCGCCGAGATCGGCGATCTCTCGCGCCAGTTGTCATCGAAAAGCTAGTTATGTGTTGTGGTGTGTCTGTGGGCCTTCGGCCCACACGTCGAGCTGTGGAGCAGCTTACAGAGATCTTGCAGTAGCACTCTCAGGCCGGCGCCGCCCCTGGAGGAGGAGGAGGAGGAGGAGGAGGAGGAGGAGGAGGAGGAGGAGGAGGAGGAGGAGGAAAAGAAAGAAAGAAAGAACAGCCATAAGGACAAGTCACGTGACTACACGAAAAAACGGGGAGAAAACACAAACGAGTTAGGGCAAGGCGGGAGGCGTGGGCGTTCCTCGCCTGGCCTCCTCCTTTGCCTTGACCCTCTCGAGGAGCGCCGTCAGGCGGCTCTCGTACGACGGGGGGTCCTGCGCGGGCCGATCCTGCGGCGCCGCGGGATCTTCCTGCGGCGCCGTCGTCGTCGCCATCGCGGCCGCCGTCGTACGCACACGTGTGACCACTCGAGCCTCTGCCCGAGTGGTGGCCTGGATCTCCACCTGGCTGAAAGGAATCACACGATCTATGGCCGATCGTAGCCGAGGATTGGGACCTAGCCCTTTCCTGAAAGCCTGGAGAATCTCTATCCCTTTTCTGGTGGGGGGGAGGCACACTTTGCCCAACTTGGCCCCTCGGCCTTGAGACCACCCCCACACTGAACACATAGAAACTGTTGCACCGCTCGCCTCGTGGGGATCCCAGGGATCTGAGAGCCACCGCCAACAACAGAACCCTGGACAGCAACAACCTGGTGACCCTTGGCATCCCCAATCAGCTTGCGCAAGAATGCAGGGGTGCCCTTGCAGCCGTCCATTGGCGGCGAGTCCCCAGGAGGCGCAACTATCAAACACTGCTTGCACTGGTGGCCCACCAGAGTGGAGGCCCATTCATGAAAACTACTGCACCGCTTATCCTGGGGCCGCCTGCATCTGGGGGGCCTGGACCACCTCCTGTCATTCTGAAAGCACGGGAGTACTGCTGCGGCCAGTTTAATGAACCTGGTGGCCTTGACCTCTGCCTCTTCGACCTTCTCTAGGAAACTGGGGTCGGGGCGAGCGTGCATCGTCAATGCGATCTTAGCATGAGCATCTGCGGCCTTATTCGCCTGAGCATACCTCAACTCATCGCCCTGCAAAACAGAGATGGCCTCATCCGACCTGTGAGCTTTCACATGCCTCGTGAGGGTTATATTTGACGTGCCTGGGAGTGACTGAGCAAACAGGCGCACAGCAGCATACTTATTTGAGGACCGTGTCTGTGCCTCGAGGGACCTCTGAGCGGTAGTAACAACGGCGAGGCAATCTAAACCGACATGGGTCTCTCTATCTGAAACTTGCCCAGCTAATGCATAGGCTAAGTGCTCCGCGAAAGCAGGGGTCTGGGGGAGGGAGCCAGCCACGGGGCCTCGAAGGACCGCCAGGACATCTTCGCTCTCAGGCCGCAACAGCGCAATGGCCCATGCCGCCCTCCGAAGACATCTCAACGCTTGCTTCGTGCATGACCCGTCTGCAGCTAACTCCATCAATTGATGCTCCCCCAGAAGCTGTCCCACCTGCTCGGGAGTCTGAGGGATCTCTTCGCCATTACCCCCCACGACACAACAATCACTCGACGCACACGGGGGGGGAACCTCGCTGGGATCAAAGACGAAGAGCCCTCTGGTATAAATCGGATCGGTGCTCTCGCATCCTTCCAAAATAAAAGACTCTGGAATCTCGGCTGCTTCTCTGGCCTCTCTGACCTCAGGCAAATCACAAGTGTATAACCTGTGGTGCAGCGTATCTACTCTGCCGCACCTGCATTTTCCCGAGGTTGTGTACCCCGAGAGTCGCGCTCGCTCTTCAGTCCAAAGAGCATCGCAGGCACAGCACCGAACCAAAAACTGTTGATATCGTGTAAACTTTTTGCTGCTCGAGGCACAGATCTGCTTGCGCACAAGATCGAAAGTCGCACAGTTCGCCTGCTCAAAACCAAGCTTGCGCGCCAATGCATGTTCATGCTGGCGCTGTAGCCCAGCTTCGAGCAACTCTAAAAGCAGCCCTGGAGTCAACTGGCCGATGTTGACTTGTAGACCGTTGTGGTCTGTCCAGAGGAGCGGATCGGGTGCATCCCATCCTGCACGACAAGCTGCGAGCCTCGCTCTCGAGAGGGGCCCTTTGCTCGCGTTCCAGGATCTTGGACTGCTGGCCTTGGCTTCTCGCCACATCCTACACAACTCATGCGTGGAGGCGAGCGCTCGGTCGGCGTTAGACTGAGCCAGCCACAACATACGACACCACTGCAACGCGGGAGCTAACGCCGACCTCGCACTCTCATCTCCAAAAAGAACCGTTTTTGCGCTTAAACTTGTTCCTCCATGCTGGGGGGAGTGCACTCGGCTTTGGAGCCTTCGAAAGTTAAACCATTCAAGATTGTTTAGGCCCAGGACCTCGGTGCCGAAGGCAGCACCCGTGGAAACACCAGTCTTCAAAACTCGCTGAAAGGACTTCCTGGTGCACCCTGCTACAGTGCGCGCCAGTCGCTTGTGCTTCCTGAGCCTTAAACGCATCTTGGAAAATCGTGTTCGCTGCTTATCTCTGGCATGTGGCCTAGTGCGTTGCGAGGCTCCAGACTGATCTACCCCAAGATACGCAACACTCGTTAGTGCCGCCTCACGAGGGAAACGTAATTCTTTGCAAACCTCTCTGGCTAGGCCTTCTGTACTGGAAATAACCGCTATCTTATCATTCAGCTTGGCCTGAAGCTCTTGCACACAAAGTTTGAAATCTCTGCCTGCTGCGACGGCCATAGACTTGGCTATCTGCCTGTCACTGCTAGCTATTCCGATGGCGCTGTCGTCTATATAGCTGAGAAAATCGATACAAGGCTGCCTGACTAGGAGAGAATCGAATTCCTGAACCGCATGTATCTTGATCGAGATATCATTAAAGACATCTCCCGCGGGCAGCCCTCCTTCTGCGAAGAGCACACTCTGGGCATGGTGCTGACCTAGCCTCAAGAGTCGTGGGCCCTTCCAGACGTTATAAACCAGTTTCAGGAAACTAAGCGGCACGTTGAACCTCAAAAACTTGTCCCTGAGAGCTTCTAGGAGGAGGAGGAGGAGGAGGAGGAGGAGGAGGAGGAGGAGGAGGGAGGTGGAGGAGGAGTGAGGAGGAGGAGGAGGAGGAGGAGGCGGAGGAGGAGGAGGAGGAATTGCTGACGCTTCGCGCTCAGCGGCTCTAGAGCTAGCAGCCCTCGAGCGAGGGTCGGCGAAGAGGCCAGGACGCCCCGCGCCAAAGAGAGGCTAGACGGTCGGCTGGAGGCGGCGCCCTCGGGGGGTGCGGGCGGGCCACCGCAGAGGTGCGGGCAGTGGGCGCTCTGCAGCGGGGGCCGGCCGCTGGAGCCGAACTCTGGAGAGGCCGAGTCCAGACGCATCAAGTCCATACGGAGACCGAGCACTCCGTAGGGACTTGCTCCGTGTGTGCTCCACCTTCTCTCAGGAGAGGCCGAGTCCAGACGGAGTGTACTGGTAATGGTCGTAGTAGTAGTAGAATGACAAAAGTAGTGGCCGTAGTAGTATTAGCAGTCGTGGCGGTCGTAGTAGTAGTAGTAGTAGTAGTAGTAGTAGTAGTAGTAGTAGTAGTAGTAGTAGTAGTAGTAGTAGTAGTAGTAGTAGTAGTAGTAGTAGTAGTAGTAGTAGTAGTAGTAGTAGTAGTAGTAGTAGTAGTAGTAGTAGTAGTAGTAGTAGTAGTAGTAGTAGTAGTAGTAGTAGTAGTAGTAGTAGTGGTAGTAGTAGTAGTACTCGTAGCAGTAGTAGTAGTAATAGTAGTAGTAGTAGTAGTAATAGTAAAAGTAGTAGTAGTAGTAGTAGTAGTAGGAGTAGAAGTAGTAGTAGTAGTATCAGGAGTAGTAGTAGTAGTAGTAGTAGTAGAAGTAGTAGTAGTAGAAGTAGTAGTAGTAGTAGTAGTAGTAGTTGTCGTAGTAGTAGCTGTTGTGGTAATAACAGTAAGAATAATAGTACTAATGGTAGTAGTAGCAGTAGTAGTAGTAGTGGTAGTAGTAGCAGTGGTGATGGAAGTAGCGGTTGTAACTGTAGTGGCTGGCAGTAGTAGTAGTAGTAGTAGTAGTAGAAATAGTAGTAGTACCAGTAGTAGTAATAGTAGTAATCGTAGTAGTAGTAGTAGTAGTAGTAGTAGCACTAGAACTAGTAGTGGCGGTAGTAGTGGTGGTGGTACTAGTAGTGGCAGCTGTCGTATTTAGAGAAGGGGTAGTAGCAGTAGTAGTAAAAGTAGTAGTAGTAGTAGTAGTAGTAGTAGTAGTAGTGCGAGTCATCGTAGAGAGTACTAGTAATAGTCGTAGCAGCGATCGCAATACAAGTAATAGTAGTAGTAGTGATACTGCGAGTGGCAATCGTCGTAGTGATGGTGGTGGTGGTGGTAGTAGTAGCAGTAGTAGTAGCGGTAGTAGGAGTAGTCGCGGTACTAGTGGACATCGTGACAATATAATGGAAATAGTTGTAGTAGTAGTAGTAGTAGTAGTCGTAGTAGTCGTAGTAGTAGAAGAAGTAGTAGTAGTGGTGGTGGTGGTGGTAGTGGTCGTGGTAGCAAAAATGATAATAATAGCACTGCTGGTGGTAGTAGTAGTAGTAGTAGTAGTAGTAGTAGTAGTAGTGGTAGTAGTAGTAGTACTCGTAGCAGTAGTAGTAGTAGTAGTAGTAGTAGTAGTAGTAATGGTAAGCTAATAATAAGAGTAGTGGTAGTAGTTGCCATAGTGATATTGATAGTAGTAGTGGTAGTAGTAGTAGTAGCAGTAGTAGTAGTAGTCGTAGTAGTAGGAGTAGTAGTAGTAGTAGTAGCAGTGGCAGTAGTAGAAGCAGTTGTTGACGTAGCAGTCGTAGAAGTAATGGTGGTAGTAGTAATGTAATGTATTAGCGGTAGTAGTAGTAGAAGTAGTAGGAGTAGTAGTAGTGGTAGTAGTACTAGTGGTCGTAATAGTTACCATAGTAGTAGTGATAGTACTGGTGCTAGTAGTGGTAGTGGTAGTGGCAGTAAACAAATTACTCGTCGTAGTAGTGGTAATAATAGCAGTAGTGGTGGTAGTCGTCATAGTAGTAGTGGTAGTAGTAGTACTAGTAGTGGTAGTAGGAGTAGTCGTAGTAATTGTAGTACTAGTAGTAGTAGTAGTAGTAGTAGTAGTAGTAGTAGTGATTATAGTCGTAGTAGTGATAGTACTGGTGGTAGTAGTAGTAGTAGTAGTAGTAGTAGTAGTAGTGGTGGTAGTGGTAATAGTAGTAGTAGTAGTAGTAGCAGTAAATGGTAATAGTGGTGGTAATAGCGGTAGTCGTAGTGGTGATAATAACAATATAAAAATAATAATAATAATAATAATAATAATAATAGTAGTGGTGGTAGAACTAGTGGTAGTCGTAACAGTGGTAGCAGTAGCAGTAGTAGAAGTCGTAATAATAGTCGTGGTAGCAGTGGTAGCGGTAGCAGTACGAGTGGTAGTAGTAGTAGTGGAAGTAGTAGTAGTAGTAATAGTGGTAGTAGTCGTGTGAGTCGTAGTAGTGGTAGTTGTAGTAGTATTAGTAGTAGTAGTCGTAGTAGTAATAGTAAAGATGGTGATAGCAGTAGTAGTCGCAAAAAATAGAAATGACAGTAGTAGCAGTAGCAGTAGTAACGGTAGTAGTAGTAACAGTAATCATAATCCGCCGGCCCCCTTGTGGGGCCACCAGGCTGCGAGGCGCGTGATTCGCAGTTTCCTGTACCAGTTGTAGTTTCTAGTTTCCAGTGTTACAGTTCTGCTTCTTGCTGGTTACTGTAACTAGTTGACTTCTTGCTGGTTACTGTAACTAGTTGATTGACCGCGCGAGGGGGGGGGAGGCCCAAACAGGATTTTCCAGCGTCCCCTGGGCGCGTTGTCTGAATTACTGAGGGGGGCTCGAAATCGACACCCCTCACGCAGATCCGCGGGGTCAGGGTCCAAAAACACATGGGATTTGCCACATTTCTGAAATTCGGTGCCACCCCTCACGCAGATCCGCGGGGTCAGGGTCCAAAAACACAAGGGATTTGCCACATTTCTGAAATTCGGTGCCACCCCTCACGCAGATCCGCGGGGTCAGGGTCCAAAAACACAAGGGATTTGCCACATTTCTGAAATTCGGTGCCACCCCTCACGCAGATCCGCGGGGTCAGGGTCCAAAAACACATGGGATTTGCCACATTTCTGAAATTCGGTGCCACCCCTCACGCAGATCCGCGGGGTCAGGGTCCAAAAACACAAGGGATTTGCCACATTTCTGAAATTCGGTGCCACCCCTCACGCAGATCCGCGGGGTCAGGGTCCAAAAACACAAGGGATTTGCCACATTTCTGAAATTCGGTGCCACCCCTCACGCAGATCCGCGGGTCAGGGTCCAAAAACACAAGGGATTTGCACATTTCTGAAATTCTGCCACCCCACGCAGATCCGCGGGGTCAGGGTCCAAAAACACAGGGGATTTGCCACATTTCTGAAATTCGAACCCATCACGCACATCCATCGCAAGGCGTGGTAACCCAAACTGCGAGAACTCCCTCGGCCCTTTCATCGCAAGGTGTGGTAACCAAGCCCTTAAACCATACACGTCTTACCAATCGCCAGGTGTGGTAACCCCTCTTGTGATCAGCTGGTTTTGCTGATTGCGACTCGGCTTCGCATGAAGTTTCGATACTGCTTCACGACAGCGCCAAGGCCTCATGACTTAGCTCTTCCATGGCCCATTCTCCGAGAGAGGGGGCCGGCGGCAGGGGGCGAAGCCCTTACGGATAATAATCGTAATAGTCGTCGTAGTAGTAGTAGGAGGTAGTAGTAGAGTAGTAGCAGTAGTAGTAGCAGCAGAGTCGTAGTAGTAGTAGTAGTAGCAGTAGTAATGGTAGTAGTAGTAGTAGTAGTAGTAGTAGTAGCAGCAGTAGTAGTAGTAGTAGTAGTAGTAGTAGTAGTGGTAGTTAGTAGTAGTAGTAGTAGTAGTAGTAGTAGTAGTAGTAGTAGTAGTAGTAGTGGTAGTAGTAGTGGTACTTGTGAAAACAGTGGTAATAATAGTCGTGGTAGTAATAGTAGTAGTAGTAGTAGTAGTAGTAGTAGCAGTAGTAGTAGTAGTAGTAGTAGTAATAGCAGCAGCAGCAGTAGTAGCAGTAGTAGTAGTAGTGGTAGTGGTAGTGATAGTAGTAGTAGTTGTAGTAGTAGTAGTAGTAGTAGTACTACTAGCGCCAGTTGTAATACTAGAATGACAGAAGACGTGGTAGTAGAAGTCATAGTAGGAATATAAGTAGTAGTAGTAGTAGTAGTGGTAGTAGTAGTAGTAATAGTAGTAATAGTCGTAGTAGTAGTGGTAGAAGTAGTAGTGGTAGGAGTAGTCGTGATAGTTGTGATAGGAGTAATAGTAGTCGTTGTGGTATTAGTAGTAGGAACAATGATCGTAGTACTACTAGTAGTAGTAATGGTGGCAATGGTAGTAATAGTGGTGGTAGTAGAAATAGTGATAGCAGTAGTAGTAGTAGTAATAGTAGTAGTAGTAGTAGTAGTAGTGGTGGTGGTAAAAGTGGTGGTAGCACTGGTAGTAGTAATACTAACACTACTCCTAGTAGTGGTGGTAGTAGTAGCAGTAGTAGCAGTGGTAGCAGTACTCGCAGTTGCTGTTTTCGAAGAAGTCGTAGTAGTAGTAGTAGTAGTAGTAGTAGTAGTAGTAGCAGTAGTAGTAGTAGTAGTAGCAGTAATAGTAGTCGTATTCATCGTAGTGATAGTAGTAGCAGGAGTAGTAATAGTAGTAATAGTGGTAGCGGGAATAGTAATGGTGGTTGTAATCGTAAGGGTAGCAGTAGTAGTGGTAGGCTTCCTAAGCAAACGAATCGGTATCGCAAGGCGTCAGGTGTACACGTAGGTCGGAGGAAGTAGGTAAACACATGAAGTAGGAAGGCGGATGAAGTAGGTTGGGTTCAGCCTCTCCCAGAGAATAACAAAACAAAGCAGAAGCATATCGATTCTAGAAGTAGGAAGGCGCCAGAAGTAGATTGGGATCCGGAATCCCAGATATGCCTACTTTCAACGACCGGCGTGTAAGGTACTAAGCGATGAGAAGAGTAGGGCGTTGCCCGAGGTGGCCCTGGCCCGAGGCAGGCTCCCCGCCAGAGCACCCCCCCGTTCAACAACGGCGCCGCGAAGGGCAGGGGCACCCCGAGCCGAGATCACTTCTGGCAAGTTCCGACGGGCAGGAGGCAGGACACGGGAAGCAGGTTCGTTCGGCCCTGTCCCCAACCACCTCTCAGAGGAAAAGATGCCCATATCTCTACCCGTCCCTCGTCTTCCCCTTATTCAGCCTCCTGGGAGGCCCTCGTCGCCAGTGTTAGATTCGCCTCGAACTCCTGGTGCGAACGCACCCCGGGGGAGGTCTGGGGAGTAGCGATATCGTACCTTTGGGCTTCCTCAGCCTCCACATGTTTCCACCACTGCTTCCAACGCTGTTTCTGCTTGCTTCCGCCTGCTCCCATGTCCCTGCGTGTGCTTCCACGTGCTTCCCTCGCTTCCCTTACACCTGCATGCGGCTCGTTCCAGCAGCCATGAGCCCCTCGAGAGAGCGCATCCCTCGAAAGGCCGAGCTTCACTCCCGCCAGCGGAGCCGCCGCCGCCTCGCTTCTGCTGGCTTCCGCCCGCATTCCGCCGCCGTCCGACGGGAAGGAGGTGCCGGCACCTCGACCCCTCGAAGGCGAGGCCCGTCCCGGAACGCCCCGCGTGCCGACACGTGCCTCCACAGGCTTCCCTCTGCTTCCATCGCTTTCCGCTTGCCACCACGCGCTTCGACTGTTGAGACGGCCCAGGTGCCAGTCTTCCGACTCTGCAAATGAGCTGCGAGCACTTCGCCAGACTGGTCTGGACAAAAGCTCCAGCCGGTAAGTGTGAGCACATTGCATCCAGTTGGAATCCGGAACGCCATCAGAGATGGCGACGCGCCGACGGGCGACACGCGAGATATGGAAACCGTCCCAAACTAGGGGCTCTCACAGCCCGACTGTCACGGAACGAAAGGTACAGTATCGGCGCCATTCGGCACAAGACAGTGCGCCATTCGAACTAAGGTCACAGCGCGCAATTGGGCAGAAGACAGCTCCAACTCTCCTTGGAGAGTGTTGCCGCCGAATTCCACACCGGTTCGAAAAGGACCAAGGGATAAGAGCTGATGGCATACAACTGTTGCTCGGAAGCAAGACGGCTCAGAGGACGTGTCTCGTCAAAGGTAGGTCTGCCGACGCTGGCTTGGAACGAAGACCAGGGACAAAGCCGACGAGAGTAGAATCGGCAGGGCAGCTGCCTGGTGGAGGCGGCGTCAGTGGCAAGGGAATCACTGTGCAAATCGCAGGCTCCGGACGATCTGCCAGCCGCAGACAACTGCGCCCGCGCACACCCACGAGGCTGAGCGGGCCCCACCCGGGGACCTGGACGCGGGCAGCTCTGCGGACTCTTCGGGGTCGCCCTCGGAAGCATCCACAGCGCACGACAGCTGTGCCGCCGTGACGCTCCTCGCCGCGCAGCTCGTGCCACTGCCGCCACAGACGCCGCAGCGGTCATCAATCCGGCCCGAGCCGTTCACGCCGTCGCAGCCCGGTACGTCCGCGAGGGTGCAGCTCGAGCAGGCGACGGCGGGCGGAGCGCCGCCGCTCAGCAGGTCCTCGAGCCACGCCAGGAAGCCCGGCTCCTGCAGCGCGTGGTCGAACGTCGTGGTGCAGTGGTCGTTGCCGGCCGCGACGAAGGTGCGGAAGTTCGGGTTTGCAGCCTGCAGGCCCTCTAGCATGGCGAGGTTGTGCAGATTCCAGAACTCCCGCCTGGCATCCAGGTCCAGCTCCGAGGGGATCAGCCCGCCCATCTCGTTCGCAAAATACGCCTGGATCTGGTCATCTGTCCGTGTGAAATACCCAAACTGCACGTCGGGGTACAGCGAAAAGACTGCAGAGAGAGCGGTGGACGTCAGATCTCCGTGCAGGTTCGAGGGCATCCCTTCGAGAAAGAAGCCTGGGATCTCGTCGAAAACAGCATGCGGTCCCCACCTTGGCAGACCGTCCATCACGAATTTGTCAGTGAGAAGATTACTTGCCGAGTCCCCCAATGCAACAATTGTCGTGTCCGCCCCGTAGCGGCTTTTGGCGTGCATCACCTCGATCACCGGAGCGAGCGAGGCACCCGCGGAACAGCCCATGAAGGCGAGCACCTCGGGCTTCGGAAAGTTGTCGTACACCCAGTTCATCACGGCGCGTGCGTTCGCAGCGCCGTTGTGATGCACTGTGCGGTTAGCCGAGCCGTCGGGCAGCTGGTAGGTGGTGGTGCATGCACCCACGTGGACGTCCTGCGTACAGTAAAGCACGGCAATGTATGTCCAAGTCGCGGTGTCGGCGACCTGGACTTCACTCGACACCCCTATGACCTGAAGGTTCATGGAGTTGACGATCTCGCTCGCCTGCGACGTGGTCAGGCCATGCAGCAAGGCGGCCGACTGCATGACAAAGCTAGTGGACGACAGCCCCTGCACTGCCGCATTATCATTCACGCATCTCTCGTTCCAACAGGCGCCGCCGCCAATGAAGTCGACGATCACCTTGTTGACATTGGTCGTCCCCTTGCGCACGAGGAAGTGGTAGGGCGAGCCGTCCCCGCAGTATGCCCCGCCGCCCACGGGCGGGCGCATCACGAAGAAGGTGTCATTCGGTATCTCCTCGAGCGACGGCATTCCAGCCCCGAGGGCGCACAGACATGACGACGCCGCCGCTGCCACGCCTCGCCAGGCCAAGGTCATGAGGCTTTCAAAGACGTGGGTGAAGAATGCAAGACCTTGCTGACATTGCTCGCGCCCCTGCGGGCGGCACTCGAAACAGGTGGGCACTCAACGCTTTCCTGGGGAGCCCGACGGCATAACACAGCATGATCGGCCCAGGAACCCAGTAAGGGACATAGAAGTGTCACGCATGGAATGGTTCTCAAGGCGCCCAAAAGTGAGCGGCGGGCAGTTGCAATCATGAGGGTGTCGATGGTGATGTGCTCTGCCAGGGGCTGTGCTTTGCGAGCTGAACGTTGCGTGACCGAAGTGGCTTGGATCTTGAGTCCGAGTTGCCTGAACGCATAGCTCGAGCTGGTTGCAGTCGAAACCCGCGGGGCCCTCGACCAGCTCGCGCTCAAGATCCGATTCAGTTCCCCAAACAGTGCTTGCGATTGGGATTATATCTTCTTTTCTAACGGACTGGGCCTGTCTGCCTGTCTGGCGGTAATGTTGTCGCCGTCGCCGCCCCGTCGCCGTCTAGTCGCCGCCCGTCGTCTGCCGGTCTGGCGGCTATACTGTGGCCGTCGCCGCCCCGTCGCCGCTTCGTCGCTGCCCGTCGTCTGGGCCCGTCTGCCGGTCTTGCGGCTATGTCGTCGCCGTCGCCGCCACGCCGCCGCCTAAATTCTCCTCTCTACAAAAAGAATAGGCTCTACCCCCCCCCCCCAGCGTTATCCGTACCCCTTTCGGGTATGTAAATCATTTATGATTCTGACCACATGTCCATCCTAAAAATGAACTTACACTATCCCGGGGGGGCGGTATCGACCCCCCTGAGGTTCCCTTTGTAAGCATAAAGAAAAATCGATACGCGGGGACATACTTGGTTCTAACATAACACTTGTTCACGAATCCCTTGCAAAAAATGGGACGCAAAAAATGGGACGAAGTGCACACGCGCGCGCCGTCGCGCGCGCATGCCGAAATCCTCCAAAAACCTGCGGTGTCGGAAAGATTTCGCGATCGAGTTCCCAAAAAACATACAAAAACACAAGGGTTTGCAACACTGATTTGCTAAAAAAGCTTACGCGCGAGCTCGCGAGCTCTTGCGAAATTTTCAGGAAACCATAGGTTTTTTCAAGATGTACACAAAATCCTACCAAACGGGCTTCGCGCGCGCGCATGTCGAAATCTGTCGAACGCCATTGCGCGTGTGCCGTCGCGAGAACCCTCTGCAAAAAACTGGACGAAGTGCAGACGCGCGCGTCGTCGCGCGCGTATGCCGAAATCCTTCAAAACCCGTCGGTTTCGGAAGGATTTCAACATCGTGCGTCCAAAAAACTTACAAAAACACAAGGTTTCGAAACACTGATTTTCAACAAAAGCGTGCGCGCGCGCTCTTGCGTCGTCGTCGTCGTCGTCGCGGTCTTCCCTCCTCCCGCGTCGTCGTCGTCGTCGCCTACGTCGTCCTCTGTCTTTCCTGGTGTTCGTCGTCGTCGAACTCTTTGGCGTCGTGGTCGTTTCCGTCGTCGTTGTCGCTGTGGTCGTCCTTCCTCCTCCTCCCGCGTCGTCGTCGTCGTCCGTCGTCGGCGTCTCGTCGTCGTCGTTCCTATTTCGTTGCCGTCGTCGTCGTCGTCGTCGTTGTCGTCGTCGTCTTCCCTCCTCCCTCGTCGTTGTCGTCGTCGGCGTCGCCGACTTTCCTCCTTCTTCGTCGTTCGCGTCGTCGCCGTCCTCCCTCCTCCCTCGTCGTTGTCGTCGTTGTCGTCGTTGTCGCCGTCGTCGTCCTCCCTCCTCCCTCGTCGTCGTCGTCGGCGTCGGCGTCGTCGTCGTCTTCGTCGTCGTCGTCGTCGGCGCCGGCGTCGTCGTCTTCGTCGTCGTCGACGTCGGCGTCGTCGTCATCGCCGCCGTCGTCGTCGTCGTCGTCGGCGGCGGTGTCGTCGTTGTCGTCGTCGTCGGCGTCGCCATCGTCGTCGTCGTTGTCATCGTCGTCGTCGTCGGCGTCGGCGTCGGCGTCGTCGTCGGTGTCGGCGTCGGCGTCGTCGTTGTCGGCGTCGTCGAAGTTGTTGGAGACGTCGTCGGTGTAGTCGTTGTCGGCGGCGTCGTCGTCGTCGTTGTCGCTGTCGTCGTCGGCGTCGCTGTCGCTGCCAAGTGCCATTTGGTACCCACCGTCACGGTCTTAAGAGATTTTGCAAACCAAGTTGCGGGTGGGTGGTTGGGATGTTTGCGCGAGCAGTGGAGGTGGTCAATCGCGGTGCAGGGTAATCAATTTTCCTTTCTAAAAAGAGAATAGAATCTACCCCCCCCCCCGGCGTTATCCGCCCCCCTTTCGGGTATGTAAATCATATATGATTCTGACCACATGTCCATCCAAAATATGATTCTTCACTATCCCAGGGGAACCGGTATCGACCCCCCTGAGGTTCCTTGAAAAAAACGATACGCGGGGACACCTTTTGTTCTAACATAACACTTGTTCACGAATCCCTTCCAAAAAATTGGACGAAGTGCACACGCGCGCGCCGTCGCGCGCGCATGCCGAAATCCTCCAAAAACCTTGGGTGTGATCGGGTTTCCAAAAAACATACAAAAACCACAGGGTTTGGCAACACTGATTTGCTACAAAAGCTTACGCGCGAGTTCTTGCGAAATCTCAAGAAAACCATAGGTTTTTCCAAGATTTTCATAAAATGCTACCCAACGGACTTCGCGCGCGCGCATGTCGAAATCTGTCGAACGCCCTTGCGCGTGTGCCGTCGCGAGAACCCTCTGCAAACAATTAAACGAAGTGCAGACGCGCGCGTTGTCGCGCGCGTATGACGAAATCCTTCAAACCCCATCGGTTTCGGAAGAATTTCAACATCGTGTGTCCAAAAAACCTACAAAAACACAAGGTTTCGAAACACTGATTTTCAACAGAAGCGTGCGCGCGCGCTCTTGCGTCGTCGTCGTCGTCGTCATCGTCGTCGTCGTCGCCGTCCTCCTTCCTCCCGCGTCGTCGGCGTCGTCGTCGCCTACGTCGTCCTCTGTCTTTCCTCGTGTTCGTCGTCGTCGTCCTCTTTGGCGTCGTGGTCGTTTCCGTCGTCGTTGTCGCCGTGGTCGTCCTTCCTCCTCCTCCCGCGTCGTCGTCGTCGTCCGTCGTCGGCGTCTCGTCGTCGTCCTTCCTATTTCGTCGCCGTCGTCGTCGTCGTCGTCGTTGTCGTCGTCGTCTTCCTTCCTCCCTCGTCGTCGTCGTCGTCGGCGTCGCCGACTTTCCTGCTTCTTCGTCGTTCGCGTCGTCGCCGTCCTTCCTCCTCCCTCGTCGTTGTCGTCGTTGTCGTCGTTGTCGCCGTCGCCGTCCTCCCTCCTCCCTCGTCGTCGTCTTCGTTGGCGCCGGCGTCTTCGTCTTCGTCGTCGTCGGCGTCGGCGTCGTCGTCGTTGTCGTCGTCGTCGGCGTCGCCATCGTCGTCGTCGTTGTCATCGTCGTCGTCGTCGTCGGTGTCGTCGTTGTCGTCGTCGTCGTCGTCGGTGTCGTCGTTGTCGTCGTCGTCGGCGTCGTCATCGTCGTCGTCGTTGTCATCGTCGTCGTCGTCGTCGGCGTCGTCGTCGTCGGTGTCGACGTCGTCGTCGTTGTCGGCGTCGTCGTAGTCGTGGTCGGTGGCGTCGTCGTCGTCGTTGTCGCTATCGTCGTCGGCGTCGCTGTCGTTGCCAAGTGCCATTTGGGACCCACCGTCACGGTCTTAAGAGATTTTGCAAACCAAGTTGCGGGTGGGTGGGTGGGATGTTTGCGCGAGCAGTGGAGTGGACAACTCACTGCCAACAGAAATCAATTGCACAACATAGATTCGGCCACATAGATTCTCCTTTCTACAAGAGTATTCGGATCTACCCCCCGCCCCCGGGGTTAACTGCAAACCGTTTCGTACTGCAATTTCCATATGATTCTGCCCTACCGTCAATCCGAAATATGAACTCGCACCAGCCCAGGCAGGCCAGTATCGCGCCCCCCATTATCTTCTGCCAAAAATGCTATGCGGGTGCACTCGTTTATCAAAAGTCACCCACGTTCAAGAACCCCTTGCAAAAACAAAAAAAACGGGAACGGAATGCACACGCGCGCGTCGTCGCACGCTTGTCCCGCTCTAGGACATTAGGAACCCACGTGTTTTCACGCTTGTCCAGCTCTGGGGCGTTAGGGACCCACGTGTTTTCACACTCGTCCCGATCTGTAGCATTAAGAACCCATGCGTTTTCACGCTTGTCCTGCTCTGACCCGTGCCCCGCTCTGTGGCGTCAGGAACCCACGTGTTTTCACTCTCGTCCCGCTCCGGGGTCTTAGGAACACACGTGTTGTCACGCTTGTCCCGCTCTGTGGCAGTACGAAGCATTTTTCTTACGGAACCCAAGTGTTGTCACGCTTGTCCCTTCTGGGGCGTCAGGAACGCATATGTTTTCACGCTTGTCCCGCTTTTGGTCATCATCCACCCATGCTTTTTCACGCTTGTCCCGCTCTGGGGCGTTAGGAGCCCATGCGTGTTCGCCCTTCTCCCACTCTGGGGCGTTAGGAACCATGTGCTTTCACGCTTGACCCGCCTTGGGGCGTTAGGAACCTACGCGTCGTCACGCTCCGAGGACCACGATCCCTTGCAAATAATAATCCGACCGCACTCTCAGAACCACCTGGGCATCCTGGAGCGCCCAGGTCTTTCAAGCGCTGCAAAATAATCGTTTCGCTCGAGACATCTTCAGGCATTCGGCACGCAGGGCGCGCCATCCTCGAGCGGGCACGCAAGAAGCCAACTTTCCTTCTGCAAAATATGCGCTGGGCTCGAGACAACCTCGAGAAACCTGCGAGCAGGGCGCGCCGTTCTAGAGCAGGCACGCAAAAAGTCAACACTCGGTCATGTTATCCAAAATGTCAAAGACTCCGAACCTCATATTTAGCGGGGATTCTGCGCAAAACGCTCCGCGCACTCTTTCTTACAAAGGAAAGCGGTGGTCTACGGACCCAGTTAGGCAACAAAGATCGGAGAGGGGGGCCACACTTTCCTCGAGCGGGCACGCGCGAACCGCACTTCTTTAAAACAAACTGGAACTTTACCTTGTCTGTATCGAACGGAAATCTGCGGGCCCACCCCCATCATGGCACCGGGGGCAATTCAAGATAACTAAAAGAGAACCCTGGGCCAGAGCCCTTTCCGGGAACAAGACGCTACTTTACTTAGTTTCTCATCGAGCGGCAATATGCCAGCCCTCTTCGAGCTTGGCACTGGGGACAGGTTTACCTACTAACAGCGAACCCTGGGCCGGCGCACATTCCAAGAAAAACTGGTGGCCACCTTTGAATGGAAGGCGCCACGTTGGTAGGCGCTTGGGAGGAGAGGAGGGAGAGAGAAGGGAGAAGGAGAAATCCAAGGGCCCGGCTCAGGGCACTGATGGGTTGATGGGTTCGTTGCCCAGCACGTCAGTGGGCGACACTAGGAAGGAGGAGGAGGACTGGGCGGACGTGGACGAGGCCGAGTAGGCGAGGTGGCGGGGGGAAGGAGACGAAGGGAGGAGGAAGATGAGCCTGGAGGACAGGCGGAGGCTGAGGGGGAGGGCCCCTGGAGGGGTGCTTTGCGCATGGGCGGCGCACCAGGGCCCCTGAGGGACCCAAACCCGCCAAGTCGTGGACTGTGCGTGGGGCTCCACCTCGGCGCGAGGTCTTGGTGCCCCGCGGAAGGTGGGGGGGCCAGTACCCTCAGGTCGGGCATGTCCTCCTGCAGGCGGATTTGGTAAGACGAAGATCGTCACCTGGCTATGTCTTTTACGTTTTACCATTCTTGAACACTCCTCGTGTCGAGGGACACCCGACTTCACGGTACCCCTCCTCCGCAGAGTGGCCCCCCGGGGAGACGGTCTGCCGCCTTCGGTCCTCGGGGGCCTGGCTCTTGGAGGGGCGACAACAGGGGTGGACCGGCACGGGGGGGGCACAGAGCAGGAGTCCCCTCGTCGGAGCGAGGGGCAACGATAGGGGGGGACTGGTATAGGAGGGGACCACCTTGGACGAAGTTTTGAGGCTCGAGGGCTGAGGTTTTCGGACGCTTTCGGTGGTTCCCAGCGGCTTTCCAGCCTCGGGATGCCTTCCGTCGGCTGCGCCTTGCCGAGAGCGTTCCGGGCCTGCCAGAATCGTCCCGAACGGCCGCCAGAGGTCCGAGTTATAACCCGAAAACCACCAGGGGACTGGCATGGGGGGGGATCATCGACCTGGAATCGGCGATACATCGCCGACGCATCGGCGATGGACCCCCGAAAGTGAATCCGCACGTTCCTGGGCAGGTTGGGGCTATCGGCCCCTTATGTGCGATCAATGGGCGATTGGGGGTCGACGCATCACCCCCATATGCCTATACCCCCCCTATCCTATCGTTGCCTCTGACTCTTCGGGCCGTGGCGGCACCCGTCCCTGGGCCGGCATTGTGCTTCTCCTGCCCTCCCTGGCCCGCACGGTGTCTGCCGGCCTGCACGGGCCCACGCGGTGCCTGCCTGCTTGGGGGGAGGCCTCGCCCGCCTCCGCGGCCCACTCGCCACACTGCGGGGGCGGGGCCCCCTTCTCCCGACGACGACGACGACGACGACGACGACGACGACGACGACGACGACGACGACGACGACGACGACGACGACGGCGGCGGCGGCGGCGGCGGCGGCGGCGGCGGCGGCGGCGGCGGCGGCATCGACGACGACGACGACGACGACGACGACGACGACGACGACGACGACGACGACGACGACGACGACGACGACGACGACGGCGACGACGACGACGACGACGACGACGACGACGACGACGACGGCGACGGCGACGGCGACGGCGACGGCGACGGCGACGGCGACGACGCGGATGCAGATGCCAGCGCCGACGCCGACTCCGCCGACGGGGGGCGCCGACCACGACGGCGGTGGCAGAGGCCGCGGCGGCGGCGCCAACGGGCGACGGCGGCTGCAGCAGTGGCTGCAGCAGTGGCGGCAGCAGCGACGGCAGCAGCGGCGGCAGCAGCGGCGGCAGCGGCGGCCTCTGCGTCGACCAGGCGCCAGGCGTAGGCGCCCAGTTGGCCGCCGCCAGCGGTCCCGGAGGCACCGCCTTCGTCGTTGCCCGGCATTCCTCGCCGTCGTTCCTTGCCGTCCTCGTCGTCGTCGTCGTCGTCGTCGCCGCCGTCGTCGTCGCCGTCGTCGTCGTCGTCGCCGTCGTCGTCGTCGTCGTCGTCGTCGTCGTCGCCCGTCACCCGTCGACCTCCGTCGACGGCGTCGCGCGTCGGCGCCGTCACCGTCGTCCCTGTCGCCCGTCGCCCGTCGCCAATCGTTCCTCTTCGTTCGTCGCCGCAGTATGGAGAAGGGAGGAGGATCGGGTTCAAGATTCGAGGATCGAAGTTTGGAGATATTCTTGAGCATCTTTGAGCAATTTGAAGGCTTCTCGTCTCCACGGCTGGTACCAAAGCGCACCCCAGGATGGGCCTGGGGGCCAACCCTCGACCATCGTGAGGGAGAGGAGGAGGAGGAGGACTAGGACTAGGACGGTGGTCTGCACCTCCGGTGATGAGGAGGGAGGAGAGAGAAGAGGAGGAGGGAGGAGGGAGGAGGAGGGAGGGAGGAAGGCCAGGGACATGAGGGCAGGACTCTTACTGCTCCTCCTCTGCCTCCTCCTCCTCCTTCTCCTCATCGTCCTCCTCCTCCTTTCTCCTCCTCCTCCTCCTCCTCCTCCTACTCCTCCTCCTCTTCTTCCTCATCGTCCTACTCCTACTCCTGCTCCTAGTGTTACTTCTACTCATCCCCCTGTCCTCCTCTTCCTCACCTTCCCAGTCATCATCAGCAGCAGCACTGCAGAGCCAGCATCAGCATCTGCATCATCGTCATCGTCGCCATCGTCATCGTCACCGTCACCACCACCTCCACAACCGCCGTCCTCATCATCGCCATCATCGCCATCATCACCAACATCACCACCATCGAGATGATCGACGTCGTCGGGGCCATCATCGCCACCACTACCATTATCATGTTCATCTTACTCATTCCCATCAGTCTGCGAACCACTCCTCAACGAAGGGGAAACGGAGAAGGAGGCTAGGTGCGCTCACGCCATCTCTGAAATCCTACCCATCCCGCCCATGCCTTCAAATTACGCTGAATAAGATTGCATCCGCCGACTAGGGTGTCCTACACATGACCCCAGCGCGTGAGTCGCAAACAGAAGTGGCGGTGGGTCGCTCTGTACATTGGCAAAGGAGGAGGAGGAGGAGGAGGAGGAGGAGGAGGAGGAGGAGGAGGAGGAGAGGAGAGGAGAGCAGGAGGAGGAGGAGGAGGAGGAGGAGGAGGAGGAGGAGGCGGAGGGGGCGGAGGAGGAGGAGGAGGAGGAGCAGGAGGAAGCGGAGGACGGTGGGGAACGACGAGGATCGGCAGCAGCAGGAGCAGGAGGAGCAGGAGGAGCGAGCAGCAGGAGCGGGAGGGCCGGGGAGAGGGCGGAGGGAAGAGGAGGGGGAGGGAACGGCGGCCAGGAAGCTCCTCCTCCTTCTCCTCCTCCTCCTCCTCCTCTCCTCCTCCTCCTCTCCTCCTCCTCCTCCTCCTCCTCCTCCTCCTCCTCCTCCTCCTCCTCCTCTTTCTCCTCTTTCTCCTCCTCCTCAAAGAAATTTGGAATGTGGCCCGAGCTTGGGCGAAAGCGCTTTTTCAGAACGACGCAAGCAAAGCGCCGACCCTGAAATACAAGATGGGCAGCACTGCAACGGGAGCACCACGTTTGGAGGACCAGAAATGCCCCGATCCAACAAACACACAAATCAACATGATCGACCCACGAACACGGACATGATTTAGAAATGCGAGGCATGGCAACGTTTCAAGAAATCCTGATTGGGTGACGGGCAAATGCAATGCTGAAGGCATCGATCGTGATGCACCGTGCCAAGGGTTGTGTTGTGCTGTGCCGTGCTGAATTGAGATGCGCCATGCCGCGATGAGTTGCCTTTTGCTCTGCAGCGTTGTGGATCAAGTCGTTCTTAGCATCCGAATCCTGACCGAATTGATCTGGATCGTTAGCTCGAGCTGCCTGAGCGCATAGCTGGCCCGGAGCTGAATGCGGTCTAAACGTGTGGGACGCCCAATCAGCTCGAGCTCAAGATCCGACTCGGTTCCGAAGCGGGACGAGACGGCACGGGGCGCTGGGCGCATAGACGCGCCACGGGACGTGCCAGGGGGGCACCAGAGGATGCGCCAGGGGACGTGTCAGGGGACGTGCCGTGGACGTGTCAGGGACCTGCCACGGGACATGCCAAGGTGCGTGCCATGGAGCGTGCCAGAGGATGTCGTGCCAGGGGATGTCCCAAAGGACGCCCAAAGAGACGTGGCAGCGGACGAGCCAGGGGGCGTGGCAAGGGACGCGCCACGGAACGGGCAGGGGAAGCGCCAGGGATCAAGCCAGGGAACGCGACAGAGAACTAGCCAGGGGACGCGCCACGGGACGCGCCGAGAGGCATGCAAGGAGGCGTGCCTGGGGGCGTCACGCCAGGGGACGTCGCAAGGGACGCGCCAGGAGACGCGCCAGGGCGCCAGGGGACGCGCCACGGAACGGACACGGGCCATGCAAAAACGCAGAATTGGGGCTCACGGGCGAGAAAAACCATGTAACATGATCGACCCACGAACCCGGAAAGTAATATAGAAATGTAAGGCATGGCAACGTTTCAAAGACACCGGATTGGGCGACGGGCAAATTCAACGCTGAGTGTATCGATCTTGATGTACCGTGCCGAGGGCTGTGCTATGCTGCGCCGTGCTGAATTGCGATGTGCCATACCGCGATTGTGCTCTACAGCGTTGTGGGTCGAGTCCTCCTTTGCATCGGAGTCCTGACCGAACTGATCTGGATCTTAAGCTCGAGCTGCCTGAGCACATAGTAGCTGCCCCAGAGCTAACTCACAGGGGGACATGCCAGGAGGACGCGCCGCGGAACGTCCCAAAGAACGCGCCAAGCGACGTGCCAGGGGACGTGCCAGGGGACGTGCCATGGGGACGCACCGCGGGACGTGCCAAGGGGACGCGCTACGGAACGTGCCAATGGACGTGCCACGGGACGTGCCAGGGGACGCGCCGCGCGACGTGCCAGGGGGACTCGCAACAGGACGCGCCACAGAACGTGACAGGGAATGCGCCAGGTTGCAATGCTTAGTGTATCGACTTTGATGTACCGGGCCGAGGGCTGTGCTGTGCTGCGCCGTGCTGAACTGCGATGTGCCATGCCGCGATTGTGCTCTACAGCGTTGTGGGTCGAGTCCTCCTTTGCATCGGAGTCCTGACCGAACTGATCTGGATCCCAAGCTCGAGCTGTCTGAGCACATGGTAGCTGCCCCAGAGCTAATTCACAGGGGAACATGCCAGGAGGACGCGCCGCGGAACGTCCCAAAGGACGCGCCAGGTGACGTACAAGGAGACGTGCCATGGGGACGCACCGCGGGACGTGCCAATGGGACGCGCTACGGAACGTGCCAATGGACGTGCCACGGGACGTGCCAGGGGACCCATGTGTTTTCAGGCTTGCCCCGCCCTGGGGCGTTAGGAACCCTACGTTTTCACGTATCTCCCGCCCTGGGGCGTTCGCAGCCCATGCGTGTGTTCGCGTTTTGTCCCGCCCTGGGGCACCTGTCCCGCCCAGGGGGCGTGAGGAACCGATGTGGTTTCGCGCTCCTCGGGGGAGAAGCGAAGAGCGGGGCCTCGTGGGGGCGCGGGGGGGGGGGAGCGAAAAGCGCCCCCCGAAAGCAGATCCCAATACAGATCAGTGCCTCCTGGGGCCTCGTGAGGCCTCCTGGAGCCTCCTGGGGCCTCCTGGGGCCCCCTGGGGCGTTGGGAACCTACGTGTTTTTTTCCGCTTCTCCCGCCCTAGGGCGTTGGGGACCCATGTGTGTTTCGCGCATCTCCCGCCCTGGGGCGTTAGGAACCATGTGTTTTCACGCTTGTCCCGCCCTGGGGCGTTAGGAACCCGTGTGTTTTCGCGCTTCTCCCGCCCTGGGGCGTTAGGAACCCATGTGCTTTCACGCTTCTCGAGCCTCCTAGGGCCTTCTGGGGGGCGGGGGGAAACGAAAAACGCTTCCCGAATACAGATCCCAATGCAGAACTTACGCAAAACAAGCATTTCACATGAGACATCCTCTGGAGTATTGTCCCCTGGAGAGTAACAATATATAACACATCCTCAAACATAAAACCATATATAACACAAAACAAGCGTTTCGCTCGAGGCATCCTCAACCAATTCTGAAACTAAGCGTTTCGCTGGGACATCCTCAAAAATAATTCGCCAGCCCTCTTCCCGCCTCGTTATTTACAGCAAATAATTCCGCTGGCCATCTTCCCGTCGGCCCCGGGGGAACAGCTACAAGAGAACCCTGGGCCTGCGCCTTTTCCGGGAAAAACAGAATGGAAGTTTCCCTGGTCTCTATCGAGCGGAAATATGCCAGCCCTCTTCGACCTTGACACGGGAGACCAACCACAAGAAAACCATGGGCAAACGCCCTTTCTAGGAAAACTGGTGGTCACATCTGACTAGAAGGTGCCACGTTGGTGGGCGCTTGGGAAGAGGGGAGGGAGCGAGAGAACGGAGAAAGAGAAATCCAAGGGCCCCAGTCAGGGCACAGATGGGTTGATAGGTTCGTTGCCCAGCACGTCAGTGGGGGACAGCAGGAGGAGGAGGAGGAGGAGGAGGAGGAGGACTGGGCGGACGTGGACGAGGCCGAGTAGGCGAGGTAGCGGGGGACGACCATCGGTTCGCCGGGACGGGATGGTTAGCCATCTGTCCGCCTTCCTCGCGGCCTGCACAGACGAGGCTGCCCGCAGGGCCCAGAAAACGACCTCCGAGACCGATCAACACGATCGACCCACGAACCCGGAAAGACAAATAGAAATGTAACACATGGCAACGCTTCAAAGGCACCTGATTGGACGACGGGCAAATGCAATGCTGAGTGTATCGATCTTGATGTACCGTGCAGAAGGCTGTGTTGTGCTGCGCCGTGCTGAACTGCCATGTGCCATGCCGCGATTGTGCCCTATAGCCATGTGTATCGAGTCCTCCTTTGCATCCGAGTCCTGACCGAAC